AGAGGAAGAGGAAGAGGAAGAGGAAGAGGAAGAGGGAGAGGAAGAGGAAGAGGAGGAGGAAGAGGAGGAAGAGGAAGAGGAAGAGGAAGAGGAAGAGGAAGAGGAAAAGTAGGAATGATTAAGAGTTGATAAATGAATCAAATTTAAATTCATAAATTATCGCTTTTGAAAATTGTTGTTATGACTTTTTCACAATTTTAACATTAAGGCTATGAACAGTTGTTGGTCAAAAAGAGTGCGCTATTTGTTCAATGTGTGTCATTTGAATAGATAAGGAAGGGTTGATTTAAGCCAATAAGTTAAAAGTAATAAACATTACTTTGAGAAGAAAATAACTAGCCAAGAAAAAAAATAAGCCTAGCCAACCTTATTACTGCATTTGTTTAAATAGACATAGCAAAAGCTAATAATGCTACCAACAACATTCATTCAAAGTAAAATTGTGATTATGTATAGAATTAGGCCTACCTTACTTTAGGCTTATCTTCGCTTTAGCTAACTTTTAATTAGCTTATCTATTAGCAAAAGTAATAATTATTTCAAATCATTCGACCATGCTGACGAAAATTTTTCATACCAAAAACAAAGAGAATTTTGTGACAAATTACTGAAAAAAAAATTCTAATTAATAACTTGAAATTTATGAATTAAAAATTAAATTTAAAAATTCTAACGAATTAAGAATAAAATTAAAGAGAAATTGTGAAACTTTTTGTGGAATATTCGTGAATTAAAAAAAAAAAATCTTTTACTCTATTCATATACCATCTAACAATAGACATTGCATTTAAGTGGACATTAGTATAGATTAATTTTTAATTAATCCAAAAAAAAAAAAGACTGACCGAAAAAGAAAACTGACCACTTCTAAGTATTTTATTCAACAGTGTAAATTTTATAGTATATTAAGCATTTCAGATGATAATAATTTACATAAAAATTAACGATTAAAAAAATAAGAAAATGAATAACAACCATAATATAATGGCGATTGAAATATTGAAAAAGAATTTTAATTCAAAAAAAACTTTTAATTTTAAAATTAGAGGGAACATTATCGATAAAGGAAAATTCATTAGCGCTTTTGACCGGACAACAATTCTGGAGCCAAAGAATTGTCGC